TTAAAGTATAACACTAAAAACATGATTTGCAAAAGAAAAAAAGTAAATTAAGCTATATCAATATTAGGAATATGTCTTCAAAAGCCATCTTTAAGAGACTAAAAGGACAAGCCATAGACTGGGAGAAAATAGTCTCAAATGTTTCTACTCAGAATATATAAAGAATTCTGAAAACGCAGTAATTAAAAAAACCACCTAGTGCCCAGCTGGCGTGGCTAAGTGGTTGAACATTGACCTAGGAACCAGGTCATTGTTTGATTCCTGGTTAGGACATATGCCCGAGTTGAGGGCTCGATCCTCTGTGTGGGGCGTGCAGGAGGCAGCCGATCAATGATTTTCTCTCATCATTGATGTTTCTATATCTCCCTCTTCCTTCCTCTCTGAAATCAATAAAAATATATATAAGAAAAAAGAAAACAGCCCAGTAAAAAATAGGCGAAAGATTTGAATAGACCCTTCATCAAAGAAGCTATATGGATGGCAAATGAGTACATGAAAAGATGATCAACATCATTTGTCATTAGAGAAATACAGTTTAAAACCTCAATGATACCACTACATACATATTAGAATGTCTTCGGTTCAAAAGCCTTACAGTACCAAGTGCTGGTGAGGATGAGGAGCAACGGAAACTCCTGCACTTCTAGTGGGAATGCACAATGGTACAACCACTTTGGAAAACAGTTTGGTACTTTCTTAAAGACTCAAAATGTACATCTACCCTGTGACTTAGCCATTTCACTCCTAGGCATTTATTCAAGATAAATAGATGTATAAGACCACATAAAGATTTGTACCTAAATATTCACAGCAGCTTTATTTGTAAAAGAAATTAAAAACAAATGCATCAATAGGTAAATAATCAAAATGTGCATCAACAGGCAAACTTGGCACTGTCTTCGTGCAGTGGAATAGTACTCAACAGTAAAAAGGAATGAACGATTGATACACCCAACAATGTATTTGATTTTCAATATAATTTACCGTAAGAGAAAGGAGCCATGGGGAAAAAGACATGATTCCATTTATATGAAATTCTGTAAAATACAACTATTTAGAAAGCAGATCAGTTATTGCTTGGAGATGTGAGCTGGTGAGGGATGAATTATAAAGGGACACAGGAAACGTTTGTGGGTGACAAATATGTTCATTATCGTACTAATAGTGATGGCTTTATGGATATATATACATGTGTCAAAACTTACCAAATTGTATACTTTATGTATAGTTTATTAAGTATAAGCCACTAAATCTATAAAAATATTCATGTATGTTCAACATTTATAACATGCTGTTCAAATTTTGGAATTATGTAAGGAACTCAGAATAATTTTTTAAATACTTTTCCAGTGATTAAGTTTGATGAGGTAGGAAAACATGTATTGTGTATACCAAGTTTACCTAAAATTTGAGCTTATTACAAAACTAGAGGCCCGATGCATGAAATTCGTGCAAGAGTAGGCCTTCCTTCCCCCGGCTGCCAGCAGCAGCTTCTGGCAGGCACCCAGGACCCGGGCTTCCCTCGAAGCCCTGGCTTTGTCCGAAAGGACGGAAGGACATCCGCTCTAATTAGCATATTACGCTTTTAATTTTATAGGTTGAGAAACTAAATGAATGTTCCAGTTTGGGCTTTCTGAAAGGCTGAGGGAATTTTCAGAATGATAAGTACCAAATGTAAGATATAATTTTATTGTAGGTTAGAATGCTGTTATCCAACTAGATGATCTATAATAATAAAAGCACAATATGCTAATTAAACTGGATGACTTTCTGGACAAAGCTGGGGCTGCTAGGGAAGCCCGGGTCCCGGGTGCCAGAGGGAAGCTGGTGCCGGCAGCCGGGGGAAGGAAGGCCTACTCTTGCATGAATTTCGCGCATTGGGCCTCTAGTAAGTAAATAAAGGGAGAGAAAAACAAAGGATGTTGTAGAGCCCTAAGTATAAAACGGAATAAATCAACAGAACTCTAGGCTTGGGAGAAATTCTTATGACCTTGATTGGATGACTAGGTATCTACGGTAGGTAGAATAATGGCTCCTTAAAGATGTCTACATCCTAATCACTGGAATTCGTTAATAGTTACATTATAGAGAAGAGAGGGCTTTGCAGTTGTGATTAAGGTTAAAGATTTGGAGATGAGATTATCCTGAATTACCCAGATGGGCCTGACATAATCACAAAGAGACTCTTTTCCCCCAGTGCAGGTCATCTTTTACTAGGTGTTAGTTAGGATATGAAAGGATTAAGAGGTCATTGGCAAAGCTCATAGTCATTGTGGAGTCCACACTGGGCCCTCTTCAGTGGTACTTGCGTTCCCCTCATGTTTGAGTTCCTTATAAGAATGGCAGTAGCTGAAAAACACGGAAGTTGCTCCCTTTCTTCACATTGACATACTTGTTGTGATATTGGTAGTAACCTCTTTGAAAAGCTCCTGAAACTCTCCAGCAATGTTGTTAGGGGTGAAATCCCACATCAATATCAGCTTGGTAGCTCCCCTAATTTGACGTCTGTGAGTTTCTTCTCCTTCACCGGTACTACTGACGCCATCTTGGAGTCTGGGCTGTCATCACACTGATTCTTTAAAAACTAAAGGAACTTTCCCAGCTGTGTTCAGCGGGAGATGTGACTGCAAAAGAATGATCAGTGAGATGCAATATTGCTGGCTTTGAAAATGGAGAAATAGGGCCATGAGGAATCTGGGTGGCCTCTGGAATCTGGGAAAGGTAAGGAAATAGATTCTCTCAGGGCCTCACCTTGCTCTTAGCCCAGTGAGGTCCATTTCTGACTTCTGACCTCCAGAAGTGTAAGACATTAAATATGTATTATTTAGGCCATTAAGCGTGTGGTTATTTGTTATGGCAGCTATAGAAAACCAGTATAATATCTAAGGGGGTGGTGGCAGAGGTAAAGCTCAGAATTAGTAATGTTTGCCAAAGGGTTGCAATGGAAAGTAAACTCTTTAATACCAAAATAACTTTTTCCATTCCTTGAGAGTTGTTTTTCCTTCTACATTTCAAACCTCATTTTCCCATCAAGTAAAACATGTATTTACTAATTTAAAAGTAATTCTAAATAGAAAAGATTAGCATTAGAATAAACCTTAAATATCATTCTAGCCAACCCCCTGAAATACACAGTTGGAGAAACTGAATGAGGGTCAAAGATTCCATAGCTAGTTACCAATAGATCTGAGTTTATATTTAGGCATGTTTTAGTGTTCTACCACATACACCCTTTAATTAGAAATTTGTTCTGGAGCTGTGGAATATATGAGTCACTTCAAGAGGGTGTTTACTTAGTGAGATAGACGAATCTTTTTCTAGCTGATAGAATTAATTTATAAGATTAACTTGTCACCTTTGCAGGCCCTAAGAGCCTGACCTGGAATAGGTGAAGTCAGTCACATTTACAAACTTCACTGGTCAGTAACTAGATTTTCATACAGGGGAAGGTACCAACTGAGAATGGAGAAGTTTGAGAGATGGTAGGAAACATAAAAAATAAATCTTTATTTCTTCCTGCCTAGAATCTGTTATAGCCGAATAGATTTCACTTGTCCCTAGACTTCTCCCCAAACTCTAAGTCTCTCCTGCAATGGAACACCCACTGGTTCTCAGAACCCTATGCCCAGACAGAGGCTCTGGTCACCAAGCATGAGAGCAGCACTCTCTTCCTCTCTCCTCAGTCCCGATTGTTCTTCTGTCCTTTATGCTTATTTCTATAACTAGAGGCCTGGTGCACAAAAATTAGTGCACTTGGGGGGGGGGGTGGCGTCCCTCAGCCAGGCCTGCCCCCTCTCACAGTCCAGGAGACCTCAGAAAATGTCCTACTGATGCCGTAGTCTGGCCTCCCTCTGGGGAGGCAAGCAGCCCATCAGGGCAAGGCAACGCCCCCATCACACCTCTGTTGCTGCCACTGCCAGCTGCCGCAGCTGCCTGAGCCTTGGCCCTTGCAGCCACCGCAGCTTGCCTGAGCCTCGGGCCCTCACAGCAGCAGCCACCATCCACAGCTTGCCTGAGCCTCGGGCAGCAGCTGCAGCTTTGTCCGGATGGACGTCTGGAATGATGTCCGGAAGACATCTGCCCTAATTAGCATATTACCCTTTTATTAGTATAGATAGGGATTTAAGTGGCTAAGGGTTTGTTTACAGAACCAAAATGATGTTCTTGTACAGTTTTTCTCTTGGACATATAATGGAGCTTGGGAAACATAGTGAAGCCATGTTTTAAATTTGCTTAATTTATATTACAGTGCTTTAATGAGAATATTATAAGAGGATGCAATGTTATATGGAATATTTATGCTAAGTTAGTTTCTTCTGCATTCCAGCTCTCTGAACCGTCTCTTCCTCCAGTTGCTAGTTAATGTATAATGCTTGAAACTGCAAATAGTACCAAACCCAGCATAGACTTGTGTTTTTTCCTATTCATATATACCTATGATAACATTTAATTTGTAAATTAGGCACAATAAGAGATTAACAACAGTAACTAATAAAATAGAATAATTATAACAGTATACTGTGATAAAAGTTATGTGAATGCGATCTTTTTGTAGTTCATAAGCATGATGATTGGGTGTTCATGCTTTTGTGTGAGATGTACAACTTTGGCACATTATCCGTCTGATGTAATAAAAAAAGAAAGGTATGTGAATGTGGTCTCTCAAACTTTTTCACTTAAAGGAAGCAATTTATGACTTCTCTTTGGCATATCCCAATTGCCAGCATTGCTGTATTGTGCTTTGGGGCCATTATTAAGGAAAAGAAGTGTATTTGAACACAGGGATTGCGGTACCAAGGCAGTCAATCTGGTAACAGAGATGGCTACTAAGTAACGAATGGGAAGCATATACAATGTGGACATGCTGTACAAAGGGAAGAATCCGTTCCCAGGCTGGATGAAGCAGGATTATGGGAGATTTCATCACGTTACTCAAAACGGTGTGAAATTTAAAACCTATGAACTATTTGTTTCTGAAATTTTCCATTTACTATTTTCAGATCACAGTTGACTGTGGGTAACAAACCGTGGAAAGCAAAACTACATTTAAGGGGGGACTGTTGTGTTCAGGGATTGACAGCTAGGTATGGTCCTCTGTTCTTGACTGCCCATGTTAATGCCAAACTAAAATAATAAGATAAATCTGCTATGTGTATGTATGCACAGACATATACTTTTAGTGCACTTCTGAGATACATTAACTATGCGAGGGTTTCTTAATTACCACTCCTGATTAGAACAGAATATTATTTTTATAGTTGAACATTCAGGTACCGTGTAATTCTCCAGATTAGATTTTTCAGAGTAGATTTAGAGAAGGAATATAGTCCACTGGTAATATATTTTAGCACTGGTTGCTCAGAGTGCCTGGCATTTTGCCAGCTTTATATTGACTGCTTTTGGAAATCACAATTCATTCCAGTGTTTATTGAGTGTCTGTTGTATGTCATTTATTTATACTAGGTTGTGGGGGTACAAAAGTGAATAGGATACATTCTCCACCTATATATATAGTCTACAGACCTTTGTCATATGTTACCTTGCTGGCTTGTTCTTAGAAATCATCATCAGACTTGGAATCAAACTGTTTGGCCCTAGTGAATCAACCCAAGTTAATACCCCTGTGACACAGGTAGGAATTAATTTTTTTAAATCAAAAACGTGAACAAGTAGTGGAGACTCACTCCTATTGTCTTCACTCTTATAAAAATTTAAGTAAGTTCCATGGAAATAGAAATTGTTTTGTTGTTTACACTGCATCTCCACTGCCTAGAATATACTACCTGACACATAGTTGATGCTCAGTAGATATTTGCTGAATGAATAGGTGAATGACCCCTTATCTTTCAACTTTCAACTCATATGTCTCCTTCTTATAGTGTTCTTTCCCCGCGTTGGCTACCCGATTCTTTTTCTTCTTCTTTTTTTAATCCTCACCTGAGGATATGCTATTGATTTCTTAGAGAGAAGAAGGGGGGCGGGGAGACAGACAGACATCCATTGGTTGCATCTCGTATCTAACTGCCCCAGCCAGGGACCAAACCCACAACCTTTTTGGTGTACAGGACAACGCTCCAACCAACTGAGCCACCCAGCGGGGGGTGCTTTCACTTCTTTTGGTTATATACCTAGGAGTGCAATAGATGGATTATATGGTAATTCTATGTTTAACATTTTGAGGGACAACCAAATTTTTCCATGGAGGCTCTGCCATTGACATTTCCACCAGCATGAGGGTTCCAGTTTCTCTACATCCTCACCAGCATTTCTCGTTTTCCCATTTTTGGTAATAGCCATGCTAATGGGTATGGTATCTCATGGTGATTTTGATTTGCATTTTCCTTATGACTAATGATTTTGAGTATCTTTTCATGTGCTTATTGGCTATTTGTATATCTTCTCAAAGGTTTCTTTTTTAAAGGAGAAAAAAGATGAGCATGTATAGGATTGTTCATCTCCTCATTCCCACCCCAATGTGGAGGAAAGTAGGTAAATATAAATAGTGTGCAGTTTTATATAGTTGTATTGTCTGTCTTTATATTTGATCTGGTTTCCTCTGCGTGCATACTTATCTCTTTTGTGTGCATATGTCTTGTCTACAAATAGATAACTCCTGACTGCCACTACTGTGTTACTGGACTTAAATGGTTGAGAAAGGTCTGGCGTTGAAAGTAAATGAGGGCTTTCCAATTCATCCTTACATGGATATTTTCAAAATTAGGATGCATTTGTATTGCATTCACTTCCAAGCCCTGGTATACCTCCTTCTTATGTTTTCTTTCTTTCTTTTGTGTTTTAGTTGTAGGAGGCTGAAAGGCTTTATGGCCCAGACATCTGTGGTACTTAGAATGGTGCTGTCATTTTCTATGCTTCTAACAAAGTAGGCAGTTCCTGTATTCTTTTTTGTGAAAACTCTCTTGTGAGGACAGTATAGTACAAGATACCGACTGATATTTTAGCAAAGAGAATAATATTTAACACAGTAAATAATATACATGGGAAATTAATGGAAAAAGCTTTAAAGTGACTTTTCATTTGGGGGAATATGACAATTTAATTATGTTAACTGTCGCTTTCAGTGTACTGTTGATGAAATTTTAAGCGTATTCTCATTTTTCTGTTAGGTCTCAGGTGTTTACTGACTGGCACATTGGAGAGTATGTGCTTATCTAGCATGTCCATAACAGAAGGAACTGCACGTTCCTCTCTGCTGTACTGGGTTGCAGTTTCTCCCCTTCGGTGGTTCAGAACAGCGAGTTTTATCATAGATTAATAACCGTAGCTACATAGTGATTTTAAATCCAGAATAAACCTAGGTTAGAAAAAAGAAAAGGCTCTCTTAAGAAAAAAAAAGGGCGGGGGGGACTTCTCAAGAAGTATATGTGTCTTACATGTTCTTAGGAATCATCTGTTTTTACTGCCTTTTTTCTTTCTTTTTTCAAGTTAGTTTTATTTTATTTTTTTTAAAATATATTTTATTGATTTTTTACAGAGAGGAAGGGAGAGGGATAGAGAGTTAGAAACATCAATGAGAGAGAAACGATCAGCTGCCTCCTGCACACCCCCCACTGGAGATGTGCCCGCAACCCAGGTACATGCCCTTGACCGGAATCGAACCTGGGACCCTTCAGTCCACAGGCCGACGCTCTATCCACTGAGCCAAACCGGTTTCGGCTCAAGTTAGTTTTAGAGAGGAAAGGAGAGAGAGAGAAACGTCAATGTGAGAGAGAAACATTGAGCGGTGGCCTCCCACACACGCCCTGACTGGGGATTGAACCTGCAACCTGGGTATGTGTCCTGATCAGGAATCGAACCCACAACCTTTTCGTGTACCAGATGGCGCTCCAGTTAACTGAGCCACCCGGACAGGGCCTGTCTTTTTTCATATAATACTAGATCAAAGAAAAAGTTTCTTTTTAAAATAATTTATTTTGTTTGCTTACAAAAATTTATATCCCAAATGGCATAACTGGAATTAAAGAGAAATACTGGAAAGTTCAATTTATTTCTTTATTCTTCCACATTTATCTGTCTTCAAAAGTTGTTTTATCTTTGTATTTTATTTTATTTTATTTTAAATATATATATTTCATTGATTTTTTACAGCGAGGAAGAGAGAGGGATAGAGAATTAGAAACATCGATGAGGGAAGAACATCGATCATCTGCCTCCTGCACACCCCCTACTGGGGATATGCCCGCAACCAAGGTATATGCCCTTGACTGGAATCGAACCCGGGACCCTTCAGTCCGCAGGCCGACGCTCTATTCACTGAGCCAAACCGGTCAGGGCTATCTTTGCATTTTAATTACTCATGTTACCCCTCTTCATATGGATTCCGTTTTACTCAGAACTGTTCTCTGAGATTATGAAGAATACTTGCATTGCATCCCTTGAAGTCGAGATTGAAGAGCAAATCAGCTTATACAAGTTTTCTATTTATTTGAACTTTAGAAAGCCATTATTTCCAAAGGGCAGGGTTAGGACCCACAATAAAATGTTTTTTGATTGATAATACTTGCATTAAAAAATTGAGCTGATCCAAATGATGAACATTCAAAAGAAAAGCATTGCCTTTGGATGTATTATAGACATGCTTTCTCGGTGCTTTGGTTTTGTTTTTTGCAATATTTATGCTCGCACATGCTTTTTCTTAAATGATTGGAACGTAAATGTCAGACTTCTTGTGACATCTCACCCTAAATACTTCAGCATATGTCTCTGAAGAATGAGGATGTCGTTCTGCATAAGACTACAGTACTGTATCACATTCTAGATTCCAGAATCTAACATTATACAATAATAATAGTAATCTAATATACAGTCTGTTTTTCCAAATTTTTCTAATTCTTCCCCAAATGTACTTTTATAACTTTTGTCCCCTAATCCAGGACCACACATTGAGTTTGTTGTGTCTCTTTAGTCTCCTTTAAACTAGAGCAGTCCCCCCCGCCCCCACCTTTTGTTTGTTTGTTTATTAGTTTTTTGGTCTTTAATGATATTAACATTATTAGGAGTCTACGCCAGTTGTCTTGTAGAATGTTTCACAACCTAATTTTGTCTTTTTTTCTTGGTTAGTTTCAGGTTAAGCATTTTTGGTAGGACTTTTCATTACTTCATATCAGGAGGCATAGTGATATCAATTTGTGGTATTATTGGTGATGCAGAGCTTGATTGTGATGTAGATCACTTGTATTAAGAGTACATCTGTCAGATCACTTCATTGCAAAGCCCTTTTTCCTTTTTTTAATAACAAGTCAGCTGTAGGTTCATGCTTTGAGACATGGGACTGCCCTGTTCCCTAATAACCTTTCACCTGGTGGTTTTAATTTGCTTATTGATTTAATTCAGGATTTCCCTTGGGGTTCTGTTGATGGATCTGTGAAGCAGCTGCTCCTCTCCCTCTCCCATCCTACCCCTGTGTGTATGTATTTTTCCAGAGATGTAATCCATGACCTCCAAAATAGTTAAAAGATTTTACCCCTCGTTTTAGAGATGCCTTCTACAAGTTTCTGTGCATCAGAGAAGTCTGTTCTAAGAAGTAGGTTTCTAGGGACTGAGACTAAGCCCTGTTCATCCACTTTTCCTAATTATCAGCCAAGCATCCCATGCAACCAGATACTTAATTTTTGTTGTTGTTTGTTTGAGAGCGCTTTGTTCTGGCCTTTCCCTTATCCTGTGCCAAGCATTTGGATCTTTTGTATTTGGCATAAACTGTACTAGAAGATAAAGCAAAAGGGGTTAGCCCCTGGTTTTTGGTGTTCTCTTTGAGATTTTGGGGGGGGGGCAGCAAAATTTGATTTGTGTCTTTGTTGACACTGAAATAAATTTAGGTCAATTGGAAATGAGTTAAAATACTACAATGTAGTTTTAGTTGTTCTGAGACATTTTCACAAGTGTAAAATAGCTCTTTTTGACTGTGTAGGGAAGAAGATCCAGCAGGTGACTTTAGGAAGCCGTGCATTCATTTCTAGCCTATTATGGAAGAGCTATAGAAGTGACTAATTCTTGACTTTCCCTGCTCAACCAGGAGAGCAGTATGGAATTAATCATGGCAGTAACTAGTGAGGTGTGCTTTGTTTCATCTATTAATTAGCCTTTGGTAACACTGATTTGCCTTGCATGAAAAAAATGTCCATCATTTGGGTGACGGATAATACTAAGAGCTAACATTGGGATAGTAGACTTTTAAAATACACACTATCCCCGGCTGGTGTGGCTCAGTGATTGAGTGTCAACTTATGAACCAGGAGGTCACAGTTGATTCTCGGTCAGGGCACATGCCTGGGTTGCGGGCTCAATCCCCAATAGGGACTGTGCAGGAGGCAGCCGATTGATGATTCTCTCTCATCATTGATGTTTCTATCTCTCTCCCTCTCCCTTCCTCTCTGAAATTAATAAAAATATATTTTTTAAAAATACACATTATACCATTTAATACAGAAGATCACTCTGTGAAAGTACATATTGCTGTTATTCTACTTACACAGGCAGGGGAAAAAGGCTTATACGAAGTTAAAGTAGCCAACATCAAATAGCTTGAAAGGAGCTCCAAATTCTTTGTCCTTTCTGTCTTACTAATTTGAAAGTTAGAGACATTCTAAGGAATCTATCTAATAATAGGATAATATGCAAATCGGTTGGGATGCCGTCACATAACAACCGATCAGCAGGCTGCGTCCCGCCCCCTGCACTGGCCCAGAGACATGAGGCTCGCGTCCCCACCCCTGGCAATAGGCCCGGGGACATTCGGCTTGAGTCCCTGCTCCCCTGTGCCCGGGGGTCCGCAGGCGCGTGGAGAGGCCCCTCTGCCGAGGGCCCAGCCAGGGGTTCGCAGGTGCGTGGAGATCTGCAGGCCTCCGCCGAGGCCTAGCCCGGATCTGCAGGCCTCCCCCAGCTCCAGCCTACCTCTTTGGGGCAATCCATGGAGGAGCCCTGGATGGGTGGGCGGGGCCTATCTCTTTGGGACAATGGATTGTGGGGCTCCCGCACTGTGACAGGACACAGGCCAGGCTGGGTCCACCTTCCCCCGCCCTGAGTGTACGAATTTCATGCACCAGGCCACTAGTCTATATATAAACAAAAGTATAGCCCATCCTCTCAAGGATCTTTTAAGTCCAACAAATCTGTTTTATGAATATGTTTTAGACAGCAAATCAAGGGAAGAGCTAAGGAAGTATAGAAAAGGGCAGACCACCACCAAGTATAAGGTCAAGGTTGATATGCTAGAGGGAGCATTTGAAGGGGGAGAATGTTTGGGGAAGAAAAAGAATGACAAAAGCTTGGAGATAGGAAAGCACAGGGATTGTTATGGAAGAGGAATTGGTCTGGGTTTGGCTAGAGCCTGAGCTGCATTTTAAAAAGTTAAAGAAAGTAGTGCAAGCTGGACCTGAAAGATAGATTAGGATCAGACTGTGAAGGACCTTGAATATCACGCTAGGGAAGAACCTCATTCTGTAGGTTTTTTTGAGCAAGAAATGAAAGATGTGACTCTATAGAAGACCTAATAATAATCATAATAAATGGTTATATTTTTAAGTTCTGATTCAGTGCTAATCTCTTAACATACATTTTCTTATTAATGTCTCATAGTAACTGTGTGAGCAATGTACTGTGTCCATTTTACAGATGTGAAACTGAAGCTCAGTGTGATATTAAGTTTGCAAGTATCAAACAGATATTGCTGGAGCTAGGACTCGGGCTGGGATCTGTCAGCTTCCAAAGCCTGTTTATTTCCGATAATGATTAGATTGACATTTCTCTTATCAGATCACTTGATAAGTTCTTAATTCTGTCAAGAATATGGCTGTAGGGAAAGGATGTTTTCAAAGTTCTGAAAGCACTGGTTCTCAAAGTGTAATTATGTTAAGGAATATAATCACTACCAAGCCTACTTTATACTGCTGTCTAATTTGGGACCAGAGCTGGATGGGAAATTGAAGAGTTGGATGATGTTTTATTTACATGCCTTATGATATCAACATGTGCTCATAGTCAGTGTTCTTTGTGGGTTTTTTTTTTGTTTTGTTTTGTTTTTCATTGTTTAACCTTATTGCCCCTAAGTAAATCTTAGGTCAGGTCATAAATGCTCAGTTACTGGGAGCATTTTATGATGAATAAGGAAGTGATATTTTTCCTAAAATATGTTTCTTCTCAACAGGTTTTCAACTTATAAAAGACAATGACTACTGATGAAGGTGCCAAAAACAATGGAGAAAACCCAGCAGCAGCTGTTGCTGAACAGGGAGAGGATATTACCTCTAAAAAAGATAGAGGAGTATTAAAGGTGAGGCCACAAGGATGAATGATATGAAGGGAAATTTACTGTTTTGAAAATCTTGTGTGTGTGTGTGTGTGTGTGTGTGTGTGTGTGTGTGTGTGTCTGGAGGTGGATAATGTTTACTGAGGCTACTAAGTGCCAAACATTATGGTTAAATTCTCATTTCATTCATAACTTGAGGTTTATTTTTAATCCCAGATTATTGATGGTGAAACTGAGGCCCAGACAAACATTACAGATAAATTATTATTTCATAGCTTGAGGTTATTTGTTTATTTTGTTATATATATTTTTTAAATCCTCACTCGAGGATATTTTGCCATTGATTTTCAGAGAGAGTGGAAGGGAGGGAGAGAGAAAGAGAAGAAATATGAATGTCAGAGAGACATCAATGGGTTGCCTCCCACACTCACCCTGACTGGGGCCAGGGATTGAACCCAAAACCCAGGCACGTACCCTTGACTAGGAATGGAACCCATGACCCTTTGGTGTGAGGTCTAAAGCGCTAACCATTGAGCACATGGGCCAGGGCTTGAGGTTTATTTTTAATCCCAGATTATAGATGGTGAACTGAGGCCCAGCTAGGTAAATTACTTGCCCAGTATCATATGTATAAGTAAATGCAGATCTGTGGTTCAGGTCCAAGTTATCTGACTCCAAAAGGCGGTTTCTCTTTTCTAAGTGTATACAAATGTGTTATTTTAATATAATGTTTCAGTATACTAAATCTAGCTAATAACAATTTAAAATACTTTTTTAAAGGAAAACAAGAAGACTTTGCAAAGTTCAAAAGGATTCATTGTTTTGTTGTTGTCACCAAAGGATATGTTTATTGATTTTTTTTATTTGAGAGAGAGGGAGAGAAATATTAATCCGTTGCCTCTCACACTCATCCCGACTGAGGATTGAACCCTCAACCTTTTGGTGTATGGGCGACAGACACTTCAACCAGCTGAGCCACCTGGCCAGGCAAGGATTTGTTTTTACATACAAATAGTGTTCCAGTGTGTAGTAAAGATATTTTTTGAAGTTCATTTCACTTTTTGAATTAGCTTTCCTCCTTTTAAAACACTTTATATTTTTTTCACTCGGTAGTTAAACATTTTTGCATGTGTTATTTTTTTTTTGTTGTATCTCACAATGGTCTTGTAAGAAAATCAGTACCTCTTGGTTCTTCTATTTATATATGGAAAATAGATATTTGTAGTCCATATAAGTGAACAAACAAGCTGAGAAGTTAAATGACTTTAGTCATATTAATTTCTCTTACACTGTTGTTATATATACAAGTTTTGTGTAATTATTAAATTGTTTTGCTGAAAAGATTATCTTATACATTCTAAATATTACCTCTAAGCTGAGTTTTGATATTTTCTTGTGTCTGCCTTAACAAACCAGGATTTTTTAATTTGTTTTGTCTAATGTTGCTTTTGTGAATGAATGCTTTTTCTGTGCCTGAATCTCTCCTGAATATGCATGTTTTACTATTAGCTTGCTGTGTGCCAAGCCAAGTTTTGGAGACTTGCAACTATAGAATTAAGGGTTTTATGCTGTTGGTTTGTATCATGATACCTTCTTTCAGATGGCTTCTCAACCTTGTGGCTATATGAATTACTCATCCCAAACTCCACTATGCTATTTGAGACAGTGTGATTCTGTAGGCTGTCCTCAGCATTTCCCTCCTCTTTCATCTTTTCAGAGCACTCATCAGAGAACACAGTCCCCAACTCGCCTCAGGTTCTGCTTTGCTCTAGGGCATTTATATATCTAATCTAATAATAGACAAACATGGTAATTGACCGTACCTTCGCTATGCCTCCCATTGGCTAATCAGTGCAATATTCAAATTAACCGCCAACAAAGATGGCGGCTAATTTGCATACTGTAGGCAGGGCGGGACAGCGCAGCTGCCAGCGAGAGCTGCAGGCCGGCCCCAGAAGCCCCAGGAGCCGCCCAGAAGCCGGTGATCGGGGGGAGATGGGGTTCCCCTGCCCAGGCTTGACCCCTCTGGCCGAGGCGTCAGGCCTGGGCGGGGGGCGGAGCCAGCAATC